TAAATTACAAAACGAGATTGGAATTTTTTCCGATTGGTAGGCCACCTATAGCGGATTTTGCAAGGGGTCTGATACGGAAGGCGAGATTACGACATCGTGTGGCTTAGGAAGGATGAGGAAGACGAGAGGGTAGATTTGGGCTATCTAGCCCGTTAATTGGACCGGCTGTCTGTGTCTAAGGCAGGGTTTTGCTAATTTGATTTCCACTTTTATTACGTCTAATTGTAAGTAACCGCTATTATGTAACGTATCCAATCAATTGCCGTGTCATCCGAATCGGTATTGATTTTTCCAATTTGACGAAAAAAGTTTGATCAAATTACCAAGATGATTGAAAACGTTAGTTTCTGGAAGTGTAAACTGAGCGCCGAAAAGTTAAATCGAGTCATTTATTCCCAACGATTAAAAAGACGTTTCAACAAAATTTGATGTCATTTTTCTACGAACTTTAGGTTGTCAAGGCATAAATATCGAGTTATGTTTCTAACAATCTAAACACAAATTTACACGACACTTTTTGTTGGTACTTGCTTTTCTGTAGGCTTGTATGTATGTACTAAAGATTAAGTTTCCGTGGAATAAACTATTATATAATTTGTTTAGTTGAGTAAATATTTGTAGTACACTTACACTATTTCCGCACTATTCTAAAAAAAGCCGAAGATAACGTACTCTCTTTGAACGCAGATAGTACGTTGGTATTTATACTGTTGAAAAATGTATAAATTTGTAATTTATTACCCAGAATAAAATGCTTTTATTACTTCCTAAACGTAGCCTTCGGAAGTTTTATATTTATTTTGACGAATATGTAGTAATTAGATCTTTTCACGATAATTAATAGCTTGTAGGATATGGAAAAGTCAGTCTCCCGTTTCGATCTGTTTATTTATTAGAATTTTTGTGATTTTGTGTTTCGATAAGCATTTTTTTTGCCACTATCTGAAACCTTTCACAAATTACGCAGAATTTGAGTTCGATATTGTGATTTTTTTTAATTATTGCCTTTTCTACATCATCAGTTTATTTTTTTTAAACTAAAGAAAAAAATTCCACTATTCTGCAGGTTACGCTAGCTTATCTTAGGTACTGTTAATGTAGTTCTCATTTATGTCAACTTTTTACCCATTTTATTGTCAATCACTGCGAATCCAATTCAAAGATGGTTCTTGCTTCAATTACATATGCCAGATCATGTTTGTAGACCACAAAAATTATATTTGGTCCCATATCTAAGTACTTATAATATTTCATTAAAAAAAAATCATCATAGTACAGGCCCTAACACCGAGCCTTGTGGTACTCCACAAGTGGTCTGTATTTTTTCCTATCGGGGATAAAAATTAAAATGTCTGCTCCTCTGCTGTCAGTAACTTCTACAGCTTACTTTAAAGCATCTATTGTCAACGTCCTTTGTCTGAATTCCTACTTTTAGTCATGTAACACTTTTTTTTCTCATTCTTCTATTAAAATGCATAAGAAACAAATTGTTCTTTACGTATCTTTTGGTCGATTGCAATCGGAACTTTAGTTCGCGTCTATTGGACGATATTGCCATTTAATGTGATTTATTAATAAAATTCAAATAATTATTGTTTCCGAACCTGTTTTTTTCCTTTTTGATTTTCCTAACCCGAAAAGACCTGGCTAGACCGGACCTGGCTTGACCAGATCTGACTTGATATTTAGTAGCGGAGGGAAAAATACATTTGCGTGTAACCAGGGTCCCATGATCTTGATGGTCCGGACGGGACTACCCACCAAATGTGTAATTTTTCTTCCCAGAACCGCCTTACACTTCGGAGTGGGCATTTTTTTCGTAATAGTTCCCATAAACCCGGCGATGTTATCCCAGTTGTACTTGTCTTCGCCCATTTGTTCGATGATGGTATGTACCGTTATTTTAACAGCAATAGCTATTCGGCATTGCTTTTCTTCTTTCTTCCATATCGTACAGTACAACAAGGTATGTTTCGGGCTACCTTGCTCTAGGCAAGACATGCAGGTGTCTTTCTACCGTACCTACTTTCTTCAGGTTTTGACCAAAAAGACCATGTCCGGTTAGTAGCTGTGTTATGAAGCACTTTACCCCCTGTGTTTTCCTGGTGTACACGTTCTTATATCTTTTATAAACCTTCTTTTGCAAGTTCCTCTACTCCCTATTTCCCACGTGGTCTGCCATATTTTTGTTAATTTTTCGTGTAATTCGTTTTGACTCATTTTCTGCTATGCCCGCTATGTATAAACTTTCACTTTCTTTTCCACTGGGTGGGACCACATTGCCTATATGTATTTATTCACAGGTATCTTATGTTGTTTTTTTATGTGATCGGAGGTTCTTCCGGGTCCAATTTTATTTCCCAATTTTTTAGCTTGCTACGCCCTAGAATATCTATTTGTGTTTTCTTTATAGCAAATGACAGTTTCATAGTTTTAGCTTCTCTTCTACTATTTTAAGGGACCAGATTCATTTTTTCTTCAGTTCTAAGGAGTTTGGTCCAGTATTGCGATCGCTAGATCGTCAGCAAATTCTATCAAATGCATTGTAACCCATTTCGAAGTCTAGAAGTTCATGGTACATAGCGTTCCATAAAGTAGACCCCAGCACAGAACCCTGTGGCACACTACGTGTCATTTGTATCTTTCTACCATATTCCATTTTAAACCCACCGATTTTCAGATAGCTTTGTATTAACTTGGGAGTTAAAGATCTAGAGCTATCATAACTATCGCTCTTTTCATATGCCTACTTATTTACCCTTTCAACTATTTACTTCAGCTTCATTGATTTGCCTCTTTTAAATTCGAATAAGTCTCTTGAGGATCCGCGTTTTCCTTCTATGTCTTGTTCCAGTAATTTCCCCATTGTGTCTAATTGACAAATCGGGCAATATTCTCTGCCTACTTGATCTTCTTTTTGGGGTTTTTCTATTAGTAGTAATTTCACCACTTTACACTGAATTGGAAATAATTCCTTCCTTAACCAAGACCCTTAGTTATTATATTCATCACAGCTTGGGCAGGCAACGCTAGATGTTTTCCCGATTCTTTTGCCCCTGAAGCTCCCCTGGCCCGTTAAAAACTGCGTTAGATGGAAATTCAGTTTTTGTGTTTACATGCTACCCATTTTTTTTTTTTTTTTGGTGTGTGTGATCAATATTCTGGTCCAGGCAGCTGCGTTCTCCTTTCCCCATCTCATCTGCCATCTTGGCACCCATCTGCTTTCCTGTGCTAGAAAGTCTATGGGGGGCTCCGAGGCTATAACTTGAAATGCCGCTGTAGATGCAGTGCGATAAGCGCACGTGATCCATAACAGTGACTTTCTTGGGTACTTAGAAGCCTCTCCTATGTTTGCGCTATCTCACGTGTTTTATACCATAAGGATGCTCCGTACAGGATAATTGAATTTGCCACCCCATTCAGGAGGATCTTTCTAGTTCTACCCGTTGGCCCTCCAACATTTGTCATTAATTTACCTAGAGCGGCAATAGACTTCTCCGCGTCTCTTAGTCGTCCAAAACTACGGCCAAGTATTTGAACTCCTTACTTGGCTTAATTTCGGTATTCCTGATCTTAAATCTAAGTGCTTCAGTCTTCTCGAACGCCAGTTCCATCTTCCTTATCTCCATCCATCTGAGCACCATATCAAGAGCTTTATTGGCTATGAATTCCAGCGTATTCTGTGTTTCTACCGTAGCAATCAGTAACAGATCACCCGCAAAACCTACACGTATCACTACAGGGATATAGAGCCTTTGTAGATCGTCGTAGAAGACGATACAAAGCAACGGACCAAGGACTGAACTCTGTGTTGCCCCGGCTCGTATGTCCAACTCTATGTAGTCAAATCTTCCTTCCTTCGAAGTAACTCTATATTAAGTTAATCAGATACCTGGAGATATTTTTTGCCTTTAAACCCTTTGTAATCTAACTCCAGCACACCATGCCCTCTTCCTAGAATTCGATAGCCTCTTAGTCCTCTCAAAATTTTCTTTATTACATTCGCTGTTGACCTTCCCGGTCTAAAACCAAACTGCTTTGGAAATAATCCGTTCTCACCTATTGGTTCGTTATTGATACGGTACACCAGTATATGGTCTACAAGTTTGCTGATGCAATTTAATAGGCAAATTGGCCTATAGGTCATCGCTGCCCCTAGCGCTTTACGTCCCTTTGGGATCAGAACTAGTTGACTAACTTTCCACTGACTTGGAAATACCTGACTTGGTCTGACCTGACTTGATCTGATCTGCCTTGATGTTTATTATTTTTTTTTTGGCGGAGGAGAAAACATTCATAGGCACCTGGGAAGTTGTTCCAGGTAGTGTTGCATTTCTGCCCCAAAATTGTTGGGGGTGGAACTGCCAAATAAAAACCCCCTTTGCCTCTCTTACCGTTCTCTCCGGGACCGCTTGCGTATTACTTCAGGGAGGACGAAACTTGATCTGACCTGACCTGACCTGGCTTGATCTGACCTGACTTGATATGACCTGACTTGATATAACCTGACTTCATATGACCTAATTTGATATGACCTAACTTGACTTGATATGACCCGAGTTGATTTGATATGACCTGACTTGGTCTCACCTGCCTTGACCATACTTGCCTTAATCAGACCTGACTTGATGAAACCTGATCTTGAAATTTTTGAAAATTTAATAATCAGAAGCAGGAATATATTACGTGATAAAATAATGCCAAATAAAACGTCGTATCGGATGGCTTTAATTAAAATCTATTTAAATTAAAATCACACCAGCTACAAAACAATAGTCTGTGATGCAAAATGTTCTTCCTAGTCTCCATCATCAAATCAAAGTGATATTAAATATTTCACTCATCTAATCCTCCACGATCCAGCTAGATTTTAAGAACTATAAAACTGCAACGGAAAAACAGAATTTCACACATAATTTGCCAAAATTCGCAGCAGCACAAATAGTTGACTTGCATGCTTCCCTTTTACGAGCAAAAACACATTGACCACCATGTTTCAGGAGGCTGTTCAGAGGTACACCGACACGAGTTGGCAGATACACCGACAAAGCAAGAGAAAACCAACCACTTTACCGATAAATACTCCTCCTTCCAAAGACGATGCCGAACCTAAAAACGAAATTGTTAAAATTAACGGGATCACATCCAACGGCGATGTTACCGTACCACCGAAATCCGAAAAACCCGAATCAGTCGAAGTCGTTCAAATCGAAACGGTTGAAGTTCTGTACGAACCGGTGAAAAGCCAGGTTGAAGTTGTTTTGGTAAGAAAATCGTGAATGTAAACTAACAAGGGTCTGATGACTAACTCACTGTGGAATGACCCATCACTTACCATTAATAACTGCACGTTAGATTAGAAAGTCAGACACCATTTTGCGTCTTGTATTTTTTTCTGTCTACCACTCACTTTATCTGGGGTGTCTTGCCCAAAATTTAGACATAGTTTGGTGATTTTTGGTAAGTAGAAGGTATAGGCTTGTTGAACATTTGCGGTTATAAGAACATGTATTCTTGTTCGTGGTGATAAATAGTGGTCATTATTCGTTCGCGAGCTCCTTGTTTCTGTTTGGTAAGTGTACTTGAATTACTTGAGTGTCAAAAATAGTGATTAACGTTCAGACTTCACCGTAGGAGTTATGAGGTAACAAGATAAAAAGATGTAATACTAAAATGCTCTTGTTAAATAAGATTAATGATTTCCTTCATACATTCTGCTAGTGCTTTAAAGTAGATTTCAAAAATACGTAATAAATCAAGAAATTAGGTTTAAAAGTCTACCTTGTTAAGAGGATACGCCGGGATTCCTGTAATCTGGTTTACTCCATTAAGGGGGAAGATTGATTCGAAAGAAAAATGCCGGTAAATCACCTTCAAAAGAGTTCAGAGAGGCAAAACTTCATAAGTAACGCACTTGTATTTAATCAAAATATCTCATTGACGAATAATTCGCGTTCTTTGTGCAAGCAACGTTGTTGAAAATCGTAGATTTTCTCACAGGATGAGTAATAACTTTATCGCTCGGTTGTATTATCGGCTCGTACTTTGGATTATGAGTTTCCTCTAAAATGACCAAAATTCTAGATACCGTCATCGGATTAATTGTCTAGATTACGGTGACTAATCCATAATTCTTAATTTTTGCTAATTTGTGCCAGTGCTAGACAGTGTGTGAAAGTGCATTGACATAAAGTTTAATATCCGATTACTACTTCGCTCTCGGTTTATTATTTTTGGATCGAGTTAATGTAAGCTGTCTCATCACGCATATTTTTTAATTCTCACCTTTGTATTTTAATTTAGATTTCAAAATATTGTGTATTTATACACAGCGCTTTCATAACATCATAAACCAAAACAAAAATAGACTTCACGGCAGTTAACCAGCAATTTATTATCGTTTTCTTTGTGTAATTTTTAACTCGGGAAATTTAAAACGTTATTAAAAATAACGTTCAGAAATACCACATTTTAGATTGAAGGGTGTCCCATTTCCAAGTGGGAGAGAGCAATGATACCGAAGAGACGGTCAACTTTGGCACGATCTCACGATTATGAGTTGCATCTATACTTTTCAGTTATCTGTAAGTCGCCACAATAGTGTTTAAAGTGGTCGGTTTTTCAGTGTTATTAGTTTCATGGGAACCTTCGGCTTATTTCAGTGATAATAATTAAAACTGTGTTTATATCACCACATGCTGCTAAAGTGGTGTTTCGTGACTGCTTGTTTTACTAATTTTCTTGATTGCTGAAAAAATAGAACATAAATTAACCTTAATAAACACAAAGTGCAATGTATTAAGTCCATTTACCTACAGTTAAATTACTACTCGGAATATATAATTATGATTTGCACGTGTATTAAGTAAAATTGCTTTTAGAATGTGACATGGTTACAGATGTACACGTAATTTTACAATTATGGTAATATATAAATTTGCCGAAGGTTGTTTTTGGTAAAAATTTTCACACAAGTCACGTTAAAAGTAAATTTTATTTTCTTAAAAAGTCCATTTTCAAGATCCGAGAGGCGCTCTAAGCATTTTTTCTCGTCTGTCTGTCCCTCTGTCTGCCGTCCCGGATTTTTATTAAACAGATAATCTCTAAAAGTACTGGGCCGATTGTTGTCAAATTTGGTGTTTATATTAGGAATATTATATACATTGTAAAACGCTAATCAAAATCTGTATAATCATCCCATTTGATGACATCACTTCAGAATTGTACATTGTAAATAGGTTTTAAATTGTGTAAAATAACATAGTGTAGTTCATGAATCCGTGTTGAGTCCAGATTTTTAGAAAAAAAAATCAAAATTATAAAACAACATTTTCCAATTTAATTTTGAATCTGCAAACCCGAATGCTTTGAAATATTGCAGATGTTTTAAAGTTGTGATAAGCATGGTAAATGTTTGATCAAAATGTATTTGCTCATCCCCCCTACAAAAATTATTGACGTCATCTCAAAATTTTGCTGAACAAATCCTATCTTAAATGTGCAAAGTAAGATGAGTCCATTTGCTTTTAAAGGGTGTCTCAAAAAAAATTAAGGATTGAGTCAATTTATTTTATTGATTAGATCAAGAATTGCAAAAATGAATACTTTGAAATCTTGCAGTCGTTTTGAAGTTATGGTAAGCATGATCACTTTTTAATCAAAATATATCTGTTTATTCCCCCTAGAAAATTGATGACGTTATCTCAAAATTTTGCCGAATAAATTCTATCCAAAATGTGCAAAATATGATTAGTGATGTATCATTGCATTCATATTTTTTAGATTTCCTTATACAGGTGGCTCAAAAAAAAAATAAATGGGTCAATTTATTTTATTGATTAAATCAGGAACCGCGCACTCCATTTTCCCAGAAAGTTTTGGGAATATAAAACTGTTATTTTTCACTTAACATTTTACACTAAATAAAATAAGTCAGTGAGATAGAGAAAGGAGGTGGGCGGGGTTAACTTTAGCTATTTTCTAGTTTTATGAGCAAGCAGTAGCCCCGCCCACCCACCTCTTCTTCTTCCATTGTTCAGTCCTATCTTAGCAGGTTTTAGCCCTGCCCACCCACCCTTTTTCTTAGAGGATACTTATGTCATTTACCAAAATCCATCTTATCTTAACAAGTACTAGCCCCGCCCACCCGCCCTCTATTTTCTGGAAAGGTATATCATCTGCCAAAATCAGTCTTCTCTTACAAGTACTAGAAAGAGAGAGAGTAAAGTTAGACAGGGGAAAGACGGGAAAGAGTCACACAAATGAAGGCAGAAATTGTGATAGACTAACAAAGAAGAGATAGATAAAAGACATACATACAGGGAGGAGACACAGAGAGGAAATACAGTTGACAGAGGAAAGTTACACAGGGAAAAGACGGACAGAGGAAATTCTGACAGAAGAAAAATATTGAGACTAGAAAATAAACAGAAAGGACACAAAAGTGAAAGAGGAAATGATAGACGCAAGACAAGTGGGGTAGAGACATAGACAAGAGAGACAAGAAACGCTAGAGAAAAGACAGAGAGCAGAAAAACACAAAGAGAAAAAAGAAAATAGATAAACGGGGTACTGACAGAAAAGGGACACATAAAACAAAAGGGGAAGAGAAAGGCAGATGACAGCCACAGAAAGAGACGACAGGATTCACGACAGACTGATAGAGAAGAGATAGACAAAAGAGAGACATAGAGTGAGAAAGAAGAGAAGCGCAGAATGGAAAGACACATTGACTAGATACTGACAGAACTGACACATGGGGAGGAGAAATAAACAGGAGAAACACAACAGTGAAAGAGAAATCGATAGATATAGACAGATCACAGAAAGACAGAAGAGAACATACCGACAGAGAAGACACGCAAACAGACAAGAGATAGACAAAGGAAAGATAAATATAAGAGAGAGACAGAAGGGTAAGACAGAGAAGAGAAACGCACAGAGGAAAAGCAAAGAGCAGAAAAACACATAGAGAAAGAAGAAGATGGATTGACGAAGGACTCGCACAAGAGAAATACGCATAAAAGAGATAAATAGAGGAAAACAGGAAAAGAAAGGCAGGTGAGGGACACCCAGAGAAGATACAAATTCTCCTACAATTTTTTTTTTTCGAGTTCCCTGTATCAATTAGTTCGTGTTAGGTTTTCGGAAAGTGAAGTTCAAAAGTGTAAAAGTGTTTTCAGTTGTAAGTACTAGCAGCGCCCACCCGCCCTCTATTTTCTTAGAGGGTATATCATTTACCAAAATCTGTCGTATCTGTGGAAGCACCAGCCCCGCCCACCCGCCCTCGATTTTTTTAGAGGGTACATCATTTGCCAAAATCAGTCGTATCTTAGGAAGTACCAGCCCCGCCCACCCGCCCTCGATTTTTTTAGAGGGTACATCATTTGCCAAAATCAGTCTTATCTTAGTAAGTACAAGCCCCGCCCACCCGCCCTCTATTTTCTTAGAAGGTGTATATATGATTTGCCAAAATCAGTCTTATCTTAGCAAGTACTGGCCCCACCCCCCCACCCTTTATTTTCTTAGAGGGTATCTTATTTGCCAAAATCAGTTTTATCTTAGCAAGTACAAGTACCTTTCATTCAGAGTAGACGTAATGAATCACTGAAATGGGGCCGGGTGGGTGGGCGGGGTGAATTATATGTTCCTTTGTAAAGTAAGTAGAAGGGAGTAAATAGAACGTAAGGTGTTAAAAAAAAGCCTTAATCGTAATTTATTGTTATACATACTACTTTTTGCTATAACATTTATTTCTTATTTCTGAAGAAAAAAATCACAGAACGGGTGGGCGGGGTTCACTTTAATTTTTTCCTGCAGAATTTTTTTGTAAACAAGCAATAGCTCCGCCCACCCACCCCCTCTTCATTCCAGTGATTACTCTTAATGTTGTTCAGTTCTACTACATTTTGCACTTTTTTAAATCTTTTTCTGTATATTGTAGTTTCAAGTGACTCTTCGTTTAATCTGTTTTTTAAAAAATAACAGAAAACAAGAAATCGCAGAGATATACCATAGAAGAAATAATATGGAATTTTTTTGTCCAGTTGATGACATAAACATCTCATTTTTGTACTAAATAATCATACAATTTTTGTCCAATAAATTACTTTTTTAATTGTCTAATTTCAACACAACATCCCTACAATAGAATTCTTTTTTGGCAAGACGTTGTAAAACTATTATGTTATATTTCTCATGTATTTAACGTAGGACGAAACCAGATCAGAACTTTGTTGAAAGTATTATAATAAAAAAAAAAAAA